TTTGCTAAACCGGGCGTGGGCTCAGAACAAGCTGAGATTAGCAAAGGAAGCTAAAATTAACAAAAAAGGCTTCTTTAAATATGTTTAAAGTAATATATTTAAAATAAAAGTATAAGAACATAATCAGTATGCTTAATGGAGAGAGCAAAAGACTAACAAGTAGTGAAGAAAAAGTGTATTCAATGTTTAGTTAGGTTCCTTCTCCTCCATCAAAAAGGATTTTGTCTCAAAAGGTAATTGTGAAGAGTAGATGAAAGTGTGAATAGTTTTGGACAAGAAACATGATCAGGAAATATTTCTTTAGATCAATTGAATTTAAATTTTCAGGACCAGATTGATTACATTTTAGGGCACTGAAGAAACAACTGATGCTCTGTCCAAATCTTTATCATCTTTGAGAAATTCTGGAGAACTTGGAAATGGCAGATGATCGTAGGAAAGCAGACATTTCTATCCTTTTTTTTAAAGGGGAGGAAATAATTTAAGACACTAGAGGCATTGTTACCTGGGAAGATCCTAAAGCACATGGTTAGGCTACAAAGTATGTAACTTGAAAACTGACAATTATCAAAACATTGGCATGGATTTAACAGGAACAGATTTCACCAAATAAAATATATCATTTTCATATTTTATATTTATGACTTGTGTCATTGTAGATGACATAAAGTTGGGTTGTATAAAGTTCAAAATAAATTTGATAAGATAAAATGGAGGGAGTGAAATATAATGGGAAAATGCCTAAGTTATTTACAGAATTAAACCTAATACACAGATATAGGAAAAACTGGCTTAGTAATAGCACTAATGAAAAGTATATTGGAACAGTAATTGATTGCAAAACAACATGAGCCAGGAAACTAATGTCATGGTAAATAAGTCAAATATAATTTCAGACTGGATCAATAGTATAATTTTCAAATCCAAGGAAGTAATCATATTTTCACTACGTGATACAAGTATTTTATCCCATTTTAAGCAACATGTTAAGGATGCAGAAGCATTTTAATTTTTAATTAAAAATAAATTTAGGTCAACGATTTTATCAGAAATCTACAAGCAGATTGGAAGAGCTGGATGTTTAGCCTTGAGAACAGACTATATACTATATAAAGTATAAAAACTATATAAAGGGATATAAGTGGGTATGTGATAGCACAAATAGTTGAAGGGAAGTTAAATAAAAGAAACGCAAGACCTGATTATTTTTGCTCCAGAATGCAGGAGGCAGAAAAGCAGATTTTGATTGAATGCAAGGGGGGGTGGGGGAGACCCTGACAGCGAGAACAGTAGTGGAACCACTTGTTCAAAATGATAATAATCTTTATTCAATAGATATAATGACCAGTGGTGCTTTAATTTTGACTTTTGCTACACTGAGCATAAAATTGGGTTTAAGGACTCTTTTCCAAATTTAATTTGAAACTTTATTTTATGTGAATAGCCAAGATTGAAATTGCTGGAGCACCAGATGCTTTTTTTGAGTTTCTAATCACAGGCCTAACAGGAATATATTCATATACACACAAATCAGAGTAATCTCAAAATCACTTGTTCATTCACTCTAACCTTTTCTTTTCTCAGCTTTCTTTACCTTCTAAGGGAAAGCAGCATATACATTATATAGCACATAAGCAAGCTGTGCTGAACATGGCAGATGCACTATTCTAGCCAAAGCATTGCAGAAGTTGAACAGCTTGAGGCAGAAGATTGGTTCAGCAGCAATTGCAGCCACACAGCTCTAAAAGAATAGAATAGAATAGAATAGAATAGAATAGAATAGAATTCTTTATTGGCCAAGTGTGGTTGGACACACAAGGAATTTGTTTTGATGCAAATGCTCTCAGTATACATAAAAGAAAAGATACTTTCATCAAGAATCATAAGGTACAACACTTAATGATAGTCATAGGGTACAATAATCAATCAAATCATACTAAGCAGCAGTCAATATAAATGCAAGCGACAAAGTTACAGTCATACAGTCACAAGTGGGAGGGGATGGGTGATAAGGAGTGATGAGAAGATTAACAGTAATAGTAGTGCAGACTTTGTAATAGTTGAACAGGGTTGAGGGAATTATTTGTTTAGCAGAGAGATGGCTTTCGGGGAAAAACTTCTTGTGTTTAGTTGTTCTGGTGTGCAGTGCTCTATAGTACTGTTTTGAGGAAAGGAGTTGAAACAGTTTATGTCTGGGATGTGAAGGGTCTGTAAATATTTTCACAGCCCTCTTTTTGACTCATGCAATACACAGGTCCTTGATTGAAGGCAGGTTGGTAGTAATTGTTTTTTCTGCAGTCCTAATTACCCTCTGAAGTCTGTGTCTGTCCTGTTGGGTTGCAGAACCAAACCAGACAGTTATAGAGGTGCAGATGATAGATTCAATAATTCCTCTGTAGAACTGTTAACAGCAGCTCCTTGGGCAGTTTGAGCTTTCTGAGTTGGTGCAGATAAAACATCCTTTTTGTGCTGTTTTGATGACGTTTTTTATGTTAGGTGTCCATTTTAGGTCATGTAATATAGCAGAACCTAGAAATTTGAAGGTCTCTACTGTTGATACTGTGTTGTCTAGTATTGTAAGAGGTGGTAGTATGGGAAGGTTTCTTCTAAAGACTACCACCATTTCTATGGTTTTGAGTGTGTTCAGTTCCAGATTGTTCCAGTTACACCATGAGGCAAGTTGTATAACCTCCTGTCTGTATGCAAATTTGTCATTGTCTCGAATGAGACCAATCACTGTTGTGTCATCAGCAAACTTCAGTATTTTAACAGATGGATTGTTTGAGAGGCAGTCATTGGTATATAAGGAGAAGAGAAAGCACACAGCCTTGGGGGAGTCCTGTGCTAATTGTACAGGTATCAGATGTGATTCTGCCTAGCTTCACCTGCTGCTTCTTGTCTCTTAGGAAGCTTATGATCCACTTACAAGTGTATTCAGGTCCCGCTAGTTGGTTTAATTTACTTAGAAGAATGTCTGGAATGATGGTATTGAATACTGAACTGAAATCTACAAAGAGGACCCTTGCGTAGGTATTTGGAGATTCACGGTGTTGTAGGATGTAGTGCAGAGCCATATTAACAGCATCATCTGTCGATCTATTTGCTTGGTATGCAAACTGCATGGGATCTAACAGTGGACCTGTGATAGTTTTCAGGTGAGACAGCACTAGCCTTTCAAAGATTTTCATAACTACAGATGTTAGAACAACTGGTCTATAGTCATTCAGTTCCTTGATGGAGGGCTTCTTTGGCACTGGGATGATAGTAGAGCATTTGAAGCAGGAAGGAATATAGCACATCACTGTGATCTATTGAAGATTTGGGTGAAGATGGGGGCCAATTGGTCAGCACAGACTTTTAAGCAAGGAGTTATCTTGTCTGGCCCTGGTGCTTTTCCAGGCTTTTATCTGTGAAATAGATCTTGCACTTCTTTTTTCTGTGATCACCAGAGGTTGTGAACCCAATGGGTTGGGGCCAGTTGTAGGAGGCTTGGCTGTTGTTTGTGTGTTTGAGATGGGGGTTGTGGAGATAGGTGGCTGTAGTTTCCTTTCAAACCTGCAGTAAAACACATTCAGGTCATCTGCTAGTTGTTGATTTCCTTCTGCCTGGGAAGGAGGTTTGCTGTATCCAGTGATGTTTTAAAGAGTTATCCACATGTTTGCTTGTTCATTTGTTGAGAAATGATTCCTTAACTTTTCAGAGTAGCTTCTTTTTGCTGCTTCTAATCTCGGAACTTATCAGCAAGAAGCACTTTGGGGCTTCTGATCTGAGCTTCTTCCACGACAGACCAAAATCTGTGATCATGCGCAGTTTCGATCTGTGCTCGCCGCTGGAGTGCCCTGAACTGGCTGGTTTCGGGGCTAAGCCACCCCGTAGAGGTGGTGAAGGGGGGGAGACTGCCAGCAGGGTCGAAGAGAGTCGCATTTCTCTTCCCCAGCTGGCCATTACTCCCTTTCCCGAACGCGGTTGCAGCGGTGGTCAGAAATGGCCACCTCAAAGAAGAACTCGAGCAGAAAAGAATGTGCAGGAGAAAGATAAGTTTTGGCTGACTGGGTAGAACTGAAAAAGCAACAATATAAGGTACCCTGGAATTTGAATTATAAAGAACAACATTGTTCCCAAAGAAGACTTTGAAGCGGTGAATGAGAGAGGGAAGGGAAAGGATTTGTTTTTTTTTTCTTTTCTTCCCTATATTGACAACTAAGAGATTTAAGCAAGAAACCGGCAAAAATCCACTTTGAACATTAACAGGTATTTAAGCTGAAAATAAAATGTCAAAGGGATAATAAAGATTTCTGGATTCTCAAAAAATTTTAAAAGAAGGAAAAAAACAAAAGGGTGAGATCTGGAAAAATGGAAGAGACCACCTGGAAGTGAAAGGAATTAACAGTGAAACTTAACAAGATTCCTAAAATATACATTTTAACTGAAACTTTGTAACAAGATAAGAGAACCCCAGGCAGAGAAAGTGGAAAAAAGAAGCAAGAAGAAACAGCTTTGGATTATTTGGATTACTTGGTGATTTTTGGATTTTTGGCTATCGGATCTAAAGGACTAAAATTAATCAGATGGTTGTTTAAAAGTTTTTAAAATGGTATCACTCTTGGAAGAATTGAGAATGGAACTTAAAAAACAGAAAGAAGATGCACAAGAAGGAAAAGGTTATTTTGGCTTCATATTTCAATTTTTAGAAATGGAGATCCTGAACTATGAGAAACAACAAGAAATGCCTGTAGAACAAGAAGGGCGGGACAAAGAAGAAGCCATCTTCAATGACCAAGTATTTCTATGTGGGGAAAAGAAAGGAAAGGGGCAAAAGAGAGTGAAAAATTTAAGATTTGAAAAAACAACCCCCAAAAAGAATAGTTTGAAAAGTAATTACAACATTAGGAAGAAACAGAAGAGAGGATTACAGAAGAGAGAATCAGAATTAGAGAGAGAAGGGGTCAAAAAGGGAAGGGAGAAGAAGAGAGGGAAGAGGGAAAGGAAAAGAAATTATAAAGGACAGAAACAGGACATAGAGAAACAGGGAAAACATACAAGGGTTAAGGGTATAAGCCTATTTAGAAGACACAGAGATAATGGCTGAAAATTTAATTGAAAGGGAGATTCTGCAAGGGTACATAAGATAGTATTGTTATATTAGAAATAGAAATGAACTTTGAAAATATGAAACAAGTGTGATTAAAATGATAGATAAAATACTCATTGTAATGTAATGGAATGTTTAATAAATAAATGAAATAAAGAGAATGAGAGAATGAAATTAGGAAAGGAAGGGAACATTTTAATTATTATAAATGTGTTATAAAATTTTAAGTGAAGAGGAATATGAAAGAAACACGAAAAAATTATGGAAATATTATAAGTGTTCCTAGAAGTATGGTACCCTATTGAAAAGAAATGTTAAAGATGTCAAAGATTATAACTAACATTAATGATAGAGCTGAATTGGAATAGAATAAGTATTTTATTTATTATGTTTTATATATATGTGTGTGTGTGTGTGTGTGTGTGTGTGTGTGTTTTCTTAAGTTTTCGTGGGTACTTACATGTATGGTATTCAGCTTTGTTCGGGTATTTTCCCACGTCATTATAGTTATGCTTTTAAAGTTGTAGCAACGTTTCAGCAGAATCTCATCTGCCATCATCAGGCTTCTGTATTGTGTTCGTTCGACGATGAGATTCTGCCAAAACGTTGCTATTGAATGTTATAATTGTAAAGGCATAAATTGAAGTGTAAATAAAATTTGAATGGATAAAAATTAAAAGATACAAAGGTGTCATACTCCAATTAGTAACTACAGGGAAAATTTTTGTTTAATAAGAAAAGAAAATATGAAATTGAAATAGGACAGACAAAAGTATAATTATAATGACTAGAAATACATTGAAACTTAGAAAAAGATATATACATAATTGAATTAAAAAGGAATGAGATAATTGAAAGTAAGATTGAGAAAACTAAGGGAAGGGAAAAATTATTGAGAAAATGTTAAAATAGTAATAAGATATGGAATAGAACACAAAGATGAATATGAAATTGAATTTGTGTCTGTATGGAGAAGTGATAACCCAGGACCATGCTATTCTCAAAAAAAGAAATTTTACTTGTATTATGTTTTGTGAAAACCCGAATAAAATTTTTATTAAAAAAAAGAAAGAAGCACTTTGTAGCCAGAAGATCCCCTTTCAGTCATATTGACTCCTTTCTGAAATTCAGATTGGAATTCATTCTAAACCTGCTTTACTTGGTTTTGCATTCATGACTGATAGTAAAAGTGTACTATATGTATCCAGTCGACTGTGTTTTATTCAATCTATATATATAAAAGTGAAATGCACAAAATGCCCAGAACCGTAAAGCCTACAAACTTGAAATTCGGCATGTATGTTCCTCTTGGCTTCTATGTGCTCACTAAGAAAGGATTTTTCAAAATGACCATCAGAGCATTAGTATTTTGTATATTATTATTAACATGCTCTGATGCTAAGGAGTTCTACTTGCACTCCCCACCTGAAAAGAACTCTGTTCCAAATGCAAAACACAAGCAGAGGAGAGGAATTTCAGTTTTAGTTCCACAGCACCAAGCAGCTTTAGTACAGAACAGTTGAGCTAAGCCATGCCCAGGCTCCTTGTTGTCTCCTTGCTCACACAGCAAGTACTGCTTCAGTTTCCAAACAGCCCTCAACTCTCTCACACACTGACATACCGATGGATGCTGGTAGACAGGCAGAATTTCTTTCCCTTATTTTCTTCCCGAAAAACTAAGCCCAACCATATAGCGAAACATGGGTATTGAGCTAGTAAACTATATAAATCAAAGTATCAGGCTGCTGTATCTTCTTCATGCTTTTGCTGTTTTTCTACACAGCTCTAGTTACGGATATAAAATTCAACTATCAAGCCTAGTTTTTGCTTCCCACTTTATCTGTGTGTTTTTGCTTTTGGAAATGAAGATTACAGGAATCGCTTTGCATTTTTTGCTAAAATTAAGCCTTTTGCCCTGTCTTGGTTAATAGTCTTAAGAAAGAGAAGGCAATTTGTATCCTGCTTGCAAATTATATTCAAGTGGTTTTAAGACTCATAGTTCATGTTGTTATAATGATTCATATTATGTAAAAAGCTCTTGCCAGTGAGGTGCTGGCATTTTGATTTATAGTATATCAGACTAAAAGCTCTACTGAATTGGGAAAATCAAGAATCATAGATGCTTCAAGTGGAGTTACAGTAAGGCAAGGTAGCTGCTAATCTCTTATGCAACATTGCTCTTAAAACCAGCAATCAATGCAAGGCATATTCACAAGTGATGAATAAGAATATTTAGTCTGTGAATATTGACCAAGGAATAAACTTCAAAGAAAATGTTTTAAATTCAAATCACCCTGAAATATAAAGCTATGATGCAGAAGAATGAAATCTCTGAGTTAAACATTGTGTTTTCAAAACGGCCAAAGGATCATATCTGTGGTGAAAAAGCTATTACCTCATTCACAAAAATGTAAGCCAGAAATCAAAGGCAGGACTTTTCATCCAGAAGAAAATGGAACCCATATTCCCTTAAAAAGCTACTATTTCATCATTCTCTTCTAAATAACTAGCAGGTCTTACAAGCAGTTTACACCATAACAAAGAAACATACCAGCTAGGAGTAATGTTGATTGTTTTTCCATAAAAATCAAATAGGTGTGCTTAGTCCCAACACAAAATAGAAGGCTGGAACAAAAAAAGCACTACTATAGTATACCTGACATATGCAGAATTTTACTACAATTCGCAACCTATAGAAGCAATAAAGCTTATGAGAATGAAGGGCTGCCTCCTGGGGTGAAAGAAGAAGAAAGGGCTCACTTTTCCACAGTAGGATAAGAAAAGAAAATGAAATCACGAGAGAAAGTATGTAGAAGAAAGCAGAACTGACTGGCAGGAACTAAGGCTGTTCACCCTTGTGAGCATTCAAAAGAGAAGACAAAGAGGATATCTAATACTATTTTCAAATACCTTCAGTAATATAATACGCTAGACTTTCAGGAGACATGGAAGCAGATTAGAGGAAAACATATTCTAATTGAATGTTAGAACAAAACTTCATAACAGAATGAGAACAGCTAAGAATATTACTCAGAGAAGTAGTGGGCTGTCCTTTAGCAAATGTGTGCAAGTGGAGATTAGAAAATCACCGTCAAGTATGCTTAAATTTGAATTTCTGCACCTAGCAAGCAATTCAGTTTAATGGCGTGTGTGGTTTCTACCAACTCTATAAGATAGGAACTAAGCAAGGAAAAGAAAAATCAAAGAACAGCAAAGGAAATCATGAGAAGGAGAAGTGCTTAGCTGAGGATGCAGTTCCTGCTGTTCACACATGCCACCTACAAATCTCTCCTCCTCTCATTAATTTTACTATCACATGAACTGCAGCCTAGATTTCTCCATGATGAAATATTCAGCTCAGAGGAGTCCAGCTGAGTTTAAAGCTCTAGTTTACAGCATGACCCCGGGAGACCTATACAATCTCTCCTGCTGGGAATTACCAAATGATGCGCACCTCTACTGTGCTGTGACAAGATACCCACAGTGCCACTAAAAGGTGGGGGAAATGCAGTGAGCCTCACTTTCCTCAATATTCAAAATGGTTGAAAGTTTAGATTAGGAGAATGCAAGTAAGGCTCAGATTAATATCCTTAAGTATTGTTTAGGTAGAGATGCAAGCAATGGGACCAATAATTAGTACAGAGGGGGATGATGGATCCTGGAGTTTGAAGCAGCACAATAAGGGAAGAAGAGTCAAAAAGTAATGGTTCACACTACACCAAGAACAAAGAAACTGGTTGATGGAAAAATATCCTCACTGTAGCAAGTTCAGAGGGAGCTGATTTCATTTTGTACTGAAATCCTTACTCATAAAATTCAGAGATGAAAGAAATGATTCTGTATCTGTCTGTTGTCTGATTTCCATAGGAAAACAGTTAAAATATAATACTGAGGAAAACTGAAACAATTTTAGAAGAAATAATGATTTTTGTTATTTCCTGTGCACAACAGCCACTTTTGGAATGAGATAGTTCTTAATAAAAAGAAATGCTTCATAGACCTTGGCTTTGTGAAAAACACTGGCTTGAGACCAAATCAATGCACCCAGACCCAAGAATGAGTCATTAATTATTAATAAATGGTGTCTTTCCAGCATCTGTATTTGTCATCAAATGTAAGGGAACACTAGATAAACACTCATGAATGACGGGATGATTCTCAAAAACATATTTTATAGATGGAAAACTGAAGCAAAGGCATCTGGAAGGAATTAGATTTTTTTCAATCAAAAAAATGTCTTAAGGCAAAAGATTAGAAGAACAACTAATGTAAAATTCTACCATCCACAAACCACACAAATCTGTAAAGAAGGGACAGAAAATATAATATGCAGTTGTCTTATTTGCATCTTAGTCCCACTAAAATACAACAACAAAAGTCTTGCCAGAATTCAT